TATGTACTTTTACTAAGGTCATGTACACACTTAACTGTAGACTTTTATTAAGGTCATGTACACATTATACTGTGTACTTTTACTAAGGTCATTTACACACTGTACTGTGTAATTTTACTAAGGTAATGTACACACTTTACTGTGTACTATTGCTAAAGTCATGTACATACTTTACTGTATACTTTTACTTAAGACATGTACACACTTTACTGTATACTTTTAGAACACTAAGGGTGACAAAAATAGCATAATGGATTATGGATCTGTATAGTATCTTATGGATGTCTACACAAGCATATCTAGTATAGAAGTGGCTGTATATATACTCTTTCTTGTAGTTGCAAAGTAAAATACAGATAACTTGATCAATATCATCTTTTTTTTAGTTTTTAAAGCTAGTTCCACTTTATTTTGTAGGTTTTGCTTTAAATAAACAGTTAAAGATTTGTTGAGCTGCACATCCATTTAAATTTAGTCAGTTATTAAGAAAAAGTTAATTATGCCCACAAAGCCTGCTCATTTTCATGTAAAAGCATGTTTATAGTCTAAACATGCTTTTGGGTTCTTGTCATACAGCTCCAAAAGTCTCCACCTGTCCTTCTGAATGCATTTTTTAAAGAGGGGAAATAATAATCAGCCTTTAAACAGATAGTTCTTGTTCAAACATGAGATTATTTCCAGAAGGGTTTTGTCGTCGTGTTTCTAAATCATTTGAGTTTCATGTCTTTGTGTGTACCAGCGTGCGCTGAGTGTCCTGCAGGTACAGAGCCCGTCTTGGGTTACGAGTACAAATGGTGGAACGTTCTGCCGTCCAACATGAAGACTTCCTGTTTCAACGTGGGGAACTCCAAATGTGACGACATGAACGGTCAGTGTCAAAATATCTTTGTTACAGACGTCCGAGTTAATGATAATCACCTAAGGAAAACATACAAACTAAAGTAAATATGATTTAATGTTCCTATGTAGAAATTGAGCTACTAATCCAGATTAGATTTTTTTACTGTGTACATATTTTATAGCGTGACTTAGATTTTATTTAGTTTTATTTTTGACACTTTTTAGAGCAATAACAAACATAAAAACATGGCTACAAATTGGAGATGCCCACTATCAGAGGAAAAATGGATACCGTAATTGCCGGTGTATAAGCCACTACTTTTTTCTCACGCTTTGGTCTCCGCGGATTTTACACAGGAGCAGCTAATTTATGTACTTTTTAAATCGTCTGCCAAGATTCCTACCGCTGAATAACATTTTCCTTTGGCATTCTCAGGTGCTCATATAGTTGTCCAACACACTCATCTTGTGGGCGGGTTTTTGTGACAAAGACAGAGTGAATGACATGGTTTCAATTTTGCTACTAAATACCCATAATCCCACTCTGTGGCCATGTGACCAGAAATCCCCCTTGAATGACCAATGAGGTACCGTACTCTCATTGAGTCATGAGAACACACCCCCAAGATAGATGTGCATTGATCAGATTTCCTTTGTTGACTACTGCAATGGGGACAAAATTTGCAGTAAATATTTTTAAATCGTATTTTCCTCAATCCTCTCTTCTGTCATCATAACACTTTTTTGTACCCTGTCCTCATCTTCACCTCTACCATCTGGACTTGGCTTGTGTCTCAAGGGAATGAGGTCCAAAATATTATTTGTATCAGAGTTAGGAAAATAAAAATCTGTCCATTGATTGTAGTCGAGCAGTTCTTTGTTATATTGACAATGATGACAGCTTTGATATATTGTGGAACCCTATTGCATGGCTGTATTAAAGGTCTATGACTCTACTGTCAGTTGAGAGATTCATGTTTGTAATTGTGAAAAACTCGAGGATGTTTGTATCGCATACTTGAAGCTGTGGATAACAGTGGAAATCCATGTTGTTCTTCTATGTCTTGTCTGATTTGATTTGTGTAAACCATGCTGTACACATAAAATTACATTGTTATAAATTTGTATTGCTAACAGTAGCGGCTGGTGGAGTTTTCTCTGGGGGTTAGGGCTATAACTCCAAAGTAAACATATACCAAAACATGACTGCTGATTAATTGTGATGTTTGGCTGATCAAGTCCAAGCTCGTTCACCTCTAGCTTCTCCTGATATGTTCTTCTCTCAAAAGGTATTGTTTTAACTGACTTCGCTGAATTATTTAATTTCTCTTGCTCCATTTTGCATCTCTGTCTGTTCAGCTCTGGGCGCAGGAGAGGTGCGCCCCAGAATGGTCCTGTCTCTTTTATCAAAGAGGAGCTACTGCGCATGTACAGCTTTTAACAAGAGTCTATGGGCAAAGATGTTTGCGCCCCAGGGTCACCAATACGTCACCAATCTGACAATGTCGATGAACAAAATAACATCATTAACTATAAAATATTTATCTTACACAACTAAAAAATATATATACATATATTTTGAAATTTTTTTATTTTATTGTTTAATTTTTATTTATTTATTGAATGTCTTATTCAAGGTAATGTGGTGAATGGTGGGGCAGCACCCTTGCGCCCTCTATTGGCCAGCCGCCATTGATTGCTAATATGAGTTTGCCTAGTTATTAAGCACAGCAATAATCAAATCTTGCTGGTTTTTCAACTTGCATAATGGAACATAATTAACCCAGATGTGACATCATCCCCTGACCAAAGCTCCAATGTCCCATGTAAATAAAACACAACAATAGGCTGCAAAGGATCCTCAAAAATAATACAGCTCTTTTAATGCAGGGCTCTATAGGAGGGTTATAAATATCTAACCTGTGGTAGATATTTAATTTAACACCTTAGTTTTTGAAAAAATGGTTAAATTCTGACTTATAAACTTTTACACCAACTTCAGTTCGAGTAACTCATTGTGCTGTTGTTCATCAGGATGGGAGGTCGCAGGAGACCACATTCGCAGTGGAGCAGGCAGCTCAGACAACGATTATCTCATCCTTAGCCTGCATGCACCTGGCTTCAAGTAAGTTTGTCGTTCATTAGAGTTTTTTTTAGGTTTAATTAGTTCTTTGAGATTAAACAGAAGTAAGCTGGACTGTTGTTGCTAATGTTTAAACTAAATGTCAGATTGTGTTTTGTGGCAGGGTACCAGCCTCCCTCTCAGGAATGACCAGTGGCGAGTTTGGTCGGATAACCTTTGTGTTCGAGACCATCTGCTCCGCCGACTGCGAGCTCTACTTCATGATGGTGTGTTCTTGTTAAAGGTAGAAATTAGGTGACTCGTTTCACCAGTGAATTAGAACAAGCTCTTTGTTTTGCGTTTGTTATGATAAGAACTGTTCAGTGTTTCGTACTCGTGCGCCCCCTGCAGGATGTGAACAGGAAGAGCACCACGGTGGTGGAGTCCTGGGAGGGCAGCAAGGGGAAACAGTCGTTCTCACACAGCATGACCAGAAATGCTTCAGTCACTTACACATGGGCCTTTCAAAGAACGAGCCACGCTGTAGATGTGAGAAAACATGCAAATAAAATAAAAACAAAATAAAATAGAAGCTTCAATACCTTTAAGTTGTAAAGCAGTTAAATGGATTATATTTGTAGGTTCGTCGATACGTCAGTGACACGGTGAAGATCTACTCCATCAGTGTGACGAATGTCCTGGACGGGGTGGCGTCATCGTGTCGGGCCTGTGCTCTGATACCCCAGAACTCCCAGCGGGCCGGCTCCTCCTGCGTTCCCTGCCCGGCTGGTTTCTACATCGACAGAGACAGCAACCGATGCCAGGAGTGCCCGGCCAACACACACCTGGCCGGCCACCACACCTACGGTCAGGATGCATGCATCGCTTGTGGACCAGGAAGTGTCAGCAACAAGGTGAAAAGATGTTTTCTGAGCTGTTCATCCCTTTTTTTTTTATCTTTCAGCTGTTTTGTTTCAAATCATACAGTAAATTTAAGCTTTTTGCAATATTAAAATATTACACTATTTCTCAGGTTAGCTTTCTGTAAAAATAGTTTTTTGCTTTTGTCAGGAGTCGGAGCAGATTAATAGATTGATGAAAACTCAACAGCACAGCAGTTTGCTCAGCTAATCTGACTGAGTCAATAAATAAAAACCCACACGTTCATGTTACTTATTTTTCAATCTGTCAGTATTATTTCTGCTCTGTTTTAAGGTTCATTTTTTATTTATTTTTTCTGTCAGGAACATTCCCGCTGCTACAGCAGCTGCTCCTTCACCCACACCGAGAACAACCGAACGTTGACCTTTGACCTCAGACCCATGAGTGACGTGGCTTCACTGATCATCGGTCCGAGTTTCACCTCTAAAGGCACAAAATATCTTCACCTGTTTAATATCAGCCTCTGTGGCCACGAGGTAACCCTGTTCATTTCATCTATCGTACAACTAACCACGTTAAAGCTGGTGGAAATCAATTATCATGTTTTAATTGAAAATACTTCTCTAAAGGCTGAACTCACTGTTTTTATTTGTTTTAGTGTCCCTATATTTCCATAAAATATAAATTAAATTAGGTCTGTTGCAATAAACAATAAATCAGTTAATCGTATGATAAATGAAAATTATCGAACTCATTTTTATTTAACGGCTTTATCATTTCTTCGTGTCTCTCTCTTTCTACTGAAGACACTGGACGACAAAAAGCTAAACTCCGGTGATCTTCACTGACCCCTCCCTTTCTCTTTAAAATCCGTTTTAACTATCTAAAATTGTGTTTTTGGATCATTAAAAGCAGCTAAGTTGAGAAGCTAAGCTACGAGCTAAGCTAACAGGCCAACCTCGGGGGAGGGGGGGGGGACCTCCGTCCTGTCAAAGCTCCAAAATTCACGGTTGAAACCCGTGTCTTTGTCTAAAAAGTTGTTTTTCTCTGCAAAAAGAAGCTGAGAACTTGTTTACTGATTTTTTTTTTTATTATTAAAAGCTTTGTGTGAAAAATGCTATGCTAAAGAGCTCAATCCACACAGAGCATCCGCCATTTTCAGAACCGAAAAAAAGGAGAGAGACAGCCCATGTCACGTCAAGGGGCCTCCCTCCCATTTTTCCTAGACGCTGCTTGATCCCTCACTATCCATCCTTTGGTTCAAACTGTCTTATACTGCCATCCAGTGGTCAAAAAAGGTACTACACACAAAAATTAACCAACATTTCTTCTTAAATTTTACAATTGCTGTCAAATTTCAAACAATATTATCGTTTATCGCAATAATTTCTGAGACAATTAATCGCCCAGCAAAATTTGTTATCGTGACAGGCCTAAATTAAATATGACAGTACTTTAGATAAATTCAGATTTAAGTTTGCACATCTTTAAGCCTCATGTTTTGTCACGTTATTGTGTGCTGTTGCATTATTTTCTTAACACAATAACACTTTGTAAACATGTATAGTAGTATTTTTAAATCCAGGGTGTTTTTGCCTTTAGTTAAACAAAACTTGTCTTCATTATTTACCATTTAGTCTAGACAACAAATCAAGAGAGAATATGTATTTTATTTATCTTAAAGTTGTAATTTGGCTAATTGACATGCCTTATATGTCGTTTCAACAGATAATTTCTCTCCTTTGGGTCTTTTTTAACAAATAAAATCTAACTTTAGAAACTGATGGGTAATTTTGATGCTGTGTTCATGTCCTCTCAGGGGAAAAGAGCTGCTGTTTGCACTGATAACGTCACCGACGTGTCCAGCAAAGACGACCAGAGCGACTTGACTCAGTTTGTCAACACGGTGGATAGCTTCATCTGTCAGTCGACCATCATCCCTGCAGATGGGCGGGGCTTCAGGATGGCCATTTCCTCCCAGTCCATCAGCCTCGCAGATACTTTCGTTGGTATGGCCGCTGGTAGAAGGCCGTGTGTGGTTCAGAGATGACCAGCTGGTAAAAATCACTTTGATGTGTTTGTTTTTAGGAGCAACAGTGGACGCTGTTCTCAACGGTGTGAACGCTAAACCGGACCTTTTCCCAGAAAACATAAATGATGTTCCGGACATCAACTTCTTCTACAGGTACAGAACAAAAAACTGTCAGTTTAAACAAGCTTTTGTTGTTTTTACTGTTTTTACACTTGTTGTGATCTAATCTTAAATTAGGTCAGCGCAGGCGACAGCATCATGTGACCAGGGTCGGAGCTCCGTCATCACGGTTCGATGTAACCCAGAAAAGTCTGAACGAGGAGAGTTGTCTGCGCCCTTGTACGTGTTTCAATCAGGACATTAAAATTTACAAACAATGCTGCACAACATATCAAAACTTTATGTCACCATGTGTTAATGTGTGGTAACATCGCAGAATGTCTGGGTTCCATCTCATCATGGTCATTTATTCATACTCAGCATCATTAAAACGTTTACTTTTTTCATAAATACCTTCTAGATACCACTTAGTGTTCAACATATAAAATGATTTAATGACCAATAAAGTTTCACTGGCTATTTTTTCTACCCATAGAATAATAAATCCCATTTTAGCGTGCATGTTATGATGAATTTGCAAGCCAAAGAAAACTCATCCCGTATAGGAGAATGAAATAAATCTTTGTGATTTGTTGGTTTGTGTTTGTGTAGCTCCTGTCCTGCAGGAACATGTGATGGATGCACGTTTCACTTCCTGTGGGAGAGCTCCAGCGCCTGTCCACGCTGCACCGAGAATGACTATCATCAGATAGAGGGGGCATGTAAGGGGGGCGTCCAGGTAATGGAAACAAACGCCTACCTGCTTTTTATGTGGATCTTATTTTATGTGGATTGAACTTCTTCATTTACATAAGGGTCAGCAGGTAAACCAAAATCATCTATTTACACTCTCCTTTAAAGATAAAAGCATCGTGCTGTAACAAATAAAATCTTCAGACCACAAAGTCATCATAAATTTTGTTTTTTAGTTTGCTTAATTAATGAAATAGATGTTTCTATTTTCTTTCATATTACTAAAATTAATAATCACAAACATTTATATCTCAGGAAACTCTTTATGTGTGGAATGAGCCAAAGTTGTGCACTGAGGGCGTTTCGCTGCCTCTTCGAAGCTCCGCCCCCTGTGAGGTCATCGCTCTGTGGCTGAAGGTCGGGCTCGGAATGGGCGCCTTCGCAGCCATGCTGCTCTTCTCCCTCACGTTTTATTTCTGGAAGAAAAACAAGAGGTGAGAAGTACCTGCAAATTTTCCTCACAACCACCTGACGGCACAACACCACGCTCAGACTGAAACATTGTTTACAGCAGTGGTTCCCAACACTGGTCCTTGAGGAACACCATCCTGCATGTTTAAGTTGTTTCCCTGCGCCATCACACCTGATTCAGTGATTTAAATACTTCTTTGTGTTCTGCAGAAGCCTGTTAATCATCCATTAATTAAAATGAGGTGTGTTGGAGCAGAGAAACCACTAAAACATGCAGGCTGGTGTTCCTCAAGGACCAGTGTTGGGAACCCCTGGTTTACAGGAAAACCAAAACAACAGTTTGCCTCATCTTTGTGGACCACACTTTGGCTCAACTTGTGTGTTTTTATATTTCTCCAAACAAAATGGAAAAAATATGTTCTACTGTAAATTTCTTTATGTTCAGAGGCACTGAAATTAAACAAATTAAGTTAAGATCTGTTAAGTGGAAGACGGATTTAAGTGCAGCTCTGTTTTCTCTGAACTGCTCAAAGAGCTCTGTCATGGCAGCTAAAATAAGCCCTATGGTTAAAAGAAGTGTTCTTGTTAGAAGATGCTTGTGGTCACAGAGTTGCTGCCTCGTGCTGATCCACTTTCTGAGTCACTCGCTGCGGTTTGTACGCAGGTTGGAGTACAAGTATTCCCGTCTGGTGATGTCTGCCAACAAGGAGTGTGAGCTGCCAGCTGCAGACAGCTGTGCTCTGGCTGAGGGGGAGGAGCCAGATGACGACGTGGTCTACACCCAGAAACCCTCCCTTCTGGGGAAACTCCGGGCCATCGCCAACAAGGTCTGCTGAAGCCTAAAACCTTTGTCACCTAACTTATAAATTCCTCAGATTACCTGTGAGATCATTATTTGTCAAGACGTTGGCTTATATTTGTTTATTTGCTCCTCGTTATTTTCTGTTTCTCAGCACGAGGATGGGGAGAGCAGCGAGTCGGTGCAGCTGAACTCTTCGCAGTCGGATCGATGGGTTATGGGATGAACCAATCAGAACAAAGGAGCTAACTCGTAAACAGTCTGTTTAATGTGGGGGTAAAACTGCAGACCCCCACTGTGACGACAGTCTGGATGCTGAATTTTAATCTTAACACACAGTGTCACAAACACACACACAGTTTTACACCATGAATGCTCAACAGCAGCAGCAAAATGGGAATCAAGCTTTTAATGTTTTTATATGTTTTTATTTGCTATGTTTTGTTCAGAGTCATGTATTTATATCTTGTTATTATGAAGAATCTTTATTAAATTAACGTTTGACTTCATGATCGGACATTTGAACTTAATACGAGTGTAAATTATTCTTCATACATTTATCATTTTGGACAAACGTTTTCTGCCCAAGCGTTTCTGTATTCCTGGTTTCTGTGCACAAATTATTTCATAGGGACACAATAAGTTCTTTTAAACTTGTGGTTACGCTTTATATTTTTTAGAGCCTTTTTTAAAATGACTAAGTTTAAAAGATGAAAGAAATGTTCATTTTTATTTACACAACGTAAAAATATGAATTAGTGTTTTATTTAAAATCAGCTTTTTTAACATTTTGCTTAGGTTTCCGTATTAAGATTGATTTCAATAAAATTCCTAAACAAAAAAATTATAATTGTTCATAATAGACAAAATGTAGTAGTACTGGTGTTTTTTAAATAATGATTTTTTTTTTTTTTAAAGCTCTCTGCTCCACACAGAGGGTTGTGGTAGCTCGGTGGTCTGTGGTTGCGTCAGGAAGGGCATCAGGCGTAAAAATAACTGTCAAGTCTTTGTGCGACTTAGTTCGCTGTGGCGACCCCTAACTCAGGGAGCAGCCGAAAGAAGAAAATAACAATAATTTTTAATTCAAAATTACATAAAACCTGTTAACTAACATTAGCATAAATGACATTGTTTCATTTGCACAACTAATATAAGCATTATTTTACTGGTGTATATCAATTAGGACATTTTTAACAATTTATTAAAAAATACACTTAGTAAATGTGTGAAACAGTGACCTTAGGGAGAGAAAATAATGAAAAGATTCATAAATATATATATTTTTTACTAATTTCAACTTTTATGTAACACTTAGTTTTATAGTAAAATTGCTCATAATTGCAGTTTACGTTCACATAACTACAATACTTGTGGAAATTACTAATAAAATAATTTTTAATGCTAAATCTTAAGATAAAAATAGCACAAAGCGCATTGAAATAAACTATTCGGGTTTGCTCTGCAATGTAAACCATTTGCATGTTTAAACTAATAGATTTTTTATTGTCAACTAATTATTAGACTTTGTTGTTTACAGATACTGGATTTAAAAGAGATTTCGTATACAGTGTGTTCTAACAAAAAGTAAAAGTGTTCTTATCCAAATTTGTACAAAAATACCTGGTAAACTTTTCATAGCTGTCCCTGCTATCTGCCTGATTAATTTGGAATTTATTGTGCACAAAAAAAGGAAACCCGTGGAAAAGGAATGATTAAATAATAAACTGAGATAATAAAAACATAAAAATACCCATTTTTATTCATACCATACTTATCTCATTTTTTATTTGTGACCTACATAGTTCTGCAAAGATTTGACATTTTGAAACAAGCGATTTGAAATGCATTTCCTACAACAGGGGTACTTTTTTCAGCACAACACTGCTCAGGCTCTTTCCCTTTTTATTCCACAGGCCACGCCCCCAGTCTGCCTCTGTCCTCACTGCCTTCACAAAAAAAAAAAAAAAATCATTCCCAGCGTCGACAAAACTTTGCTGCTCTCAAACGCCTGATTTGTATTTGAAACAACTGATTAAACCATAAAGAGGAGCAGCATGTGAAGCTTTCTGTTGGTGAAACGTCAGATTTTAGCAGGAAGATGTACGCCAGTTCTTAGCGAACGGTAAGAAATGGACCTTTTTGCTTCGTGTCCGTCACTTTTTTTCTCGACAACGCTTTCATGGGATCAAACAAACATTACCCGAGGCGCGGAAAAACGGATCGGTTCTCTGCTGGGGAACAAAAACAAGTTGCATCACCGCAAAATTTGGAGAAACGCGTTTTAAAATGATGGGTGTCCATATTTTGCAGTTTAGCGGAAACTTCTAACGCAGGCATCTGGAGTTAGACCGGTGACGTCACCGATGCTTTTAACCTCAAAATAAAAAGTTTAAAACTAGTCGATTCTCGTTAGTCTTGGTTGGAAATGCACCTAAAATGGTTAGAAAATGTTTAATGCAATACAATTTGTTAAGTGTACAGTTTCATTTTAAAATGTTCTAAATATTAAGATGCATTTGAGCTTTAATTTTAAACCAGTTTCAGTTGACTCCGCTCATGAGAACCGTAAAGATATGGTGTGAGAATAAAGTTCAAACACTTGAGCAGAGGGGATCCAGTAGTTATTGAATTTTACACAACTCCGAATCTGCAGAATGTTTCCAGCAAGATTAGTCTATGGTTTAAAAAAAAAAAAAAAAAAAAAAAAAAAAAAAAAAATTGGCTGATGCCGAAGACATGTTTCTACACAATGACAGTTCTCTGCATTTAACCCACCACACATGACGTACACCCAGGTGGAGCAGTAGGCAGCTGTGCAAGCACCCAGGGAGCAATTACTCAATGACTTCATGACAAAGTTGACCCTGTGATTTTCTGGTTTTAAGTCAGCTGCCCTAATTACACCAGGACTAAGGTCAAGACCAGTTAAAGTGCCTACTACAAATTGGAAGTGTAACAAGATATTTCAGTGCACATTAGTCAGTTAAAAAAAAAAAAGTACTTTTATTTAAAGACATTAAAATAGATTTAACACTTGTTACATTAGAAACATGTAGTCTGCTGCAGCTTGATCTTAGTCCAGCCTCTGGATGAATCTTTTGGGTGTAGGGACTGGGAGGCACCATCCGCTGAAGGGATCTGAAGCTGTTGGACAGTTGGTCACTTTGTTCTAATAAGTAGATTACAGCCGTCTGATAGCAAAGCCACCAAAGTTTGCAGGGATCTCGTAAACTGTAGCCAAGGAAAAACCCTGACCAGGAGCTCCCACGGTGCGGCTCCTGGGGACAGCCAGATCATGACTGGTTTTGTAGGTCTGCAGCCAGCTTTTGGGTCTGGATCCTCCTTGATGCCCCATGGCAGGTTTCCAAGCCTGGGTGTGAGGAGAGAACCTCCTGGCCTTCTGTCCTTCAGATCTACGATTTGATAACACCCTTTTAGCAGGACCACGAGCATATGTCTGCATCAGTGCAGAGAGTCCACGTTGTCCAGGAGCATCTGGGCCGAACAGACGAGAAGAGGAGCCCACCTCGCTGAAAGGCATTTTAGCAGCAACCCTGGAAGGTTGACGTGGTGCAGGAACAGGTCTGGAGGAAAACATCTGCCTGGGAGCCAAAACAGGATACTTGATAGGACGCTGCGTTCCCCACAGAGCAGACCAGTTTCTGCCGATTGAGGGGTTCTTCTGGTTCTGAGGACCACCAGCAACAGAAGAAAGGCCCAACGACTGCCTTGCTCCTATTGGAGCATCAGCCCTGGGTGAAAACAGCCTTTGCCTGTTTGCTTTGAATGCTCTGCTCTTCACCAGTCTGACTGAACTCTGGGCTGGCTGGGAAACTGGTGTGGAACTCCTAGTGGAGAGTCCTGGACCAAAACCACTGGGGAATGCAGGACCAGTGTTGAAGCTCCTGCTCTGGAACGAGAGTGGAGAAATGAAGCCTTGTCTGACTTGATTCTGGGGATGGCTGCCAGATGTGATCAGGCTGCCATCTGGTGGTGGGAGGCCAACATATGTGTTGCTGCTCTGGAAGCTCTGAGCTGGAGGAGGAGGAGGAGACAACATGAGTCCACTGTGGTGGGACATTGGACCAACAGCTGACATTCCTGTTCTTACCTCCTTCAGTCCAGAGACAACATACATGCTCTGCTTGAACCAAGAACACCACCAAGATCCTGTTCAGGAAACAAAACAAGAAGGTTAGAAAGAAAAGAGGACGTTTGAGTTAAAGCAACAACAAACGCTCACCCCAAACCAAGTCCACAAGTCATTTCTGGATCTCTGCTCAAGGACAAGCCTGCAGCACCTGGTTCTGTGTGTGGTACACAAGTGATGAGGTATTTATTGGAACCTGGAGCCAATCACTGCTCAGTGATTTGATTGTCTGCAGGTGCTGAGGTTCATCTCGTTTGTATGATTCATTCAAATAATAGACTGTGCAACTTTATCACAAGTTGTTGTAAATGTTCACATTTTGCTTTAATTTATAGAGAACCTTCTGACATTTTAAATGCTTTCTACACCATCTCACCCCTTTATGAACTTATTAACTGTACTTATTAAGATTTGTTTGTGTTTGACATCAGAAAGTTATTTTAATGTATCTTGAGAATCACATCTGATAAAGATGTCAAACAGTATTTGGTCTCAGCTTCTTATGTTTTAACTAAATTTACTCCTTTCAGGTCAGAAATGATTTCAGATTTTTAGACAGTTTGTAGACTTTTAAAAGTCATAACCAAGGAATCTAAATGATCACTTTAATAAAATCTGTGAGAAAACTCATTTTAGTTGAAGATGTGGCCAGTACTTAGGTTTTTAAATGTTTGTGTTATTTCCTTTTTGTTTTACAGAAACACTTTAGCTGATATTTTCCTGCTTGTTGAAAAGGTGAGTTTATTGTGGTGAAGTGGTTTCATTGATGCGTGTGAACAGTGTGGTGTGACTTCATCTCACACAATTCAAATCTATTGATTTATTTAAAAGTGCACCCTCTACTGGACCCCATCATTCTGCTAAAATGATCTTTTATTCTTTAAATTGTGTTTACATTGCAGGTGTTTCTTGTTCGATCATGGCTCGTGGCTGCATCTGCTGCGTGAAGTACATGCTCTTCCTCTTCAACCTGCTCTTCTGGGTAAAATGTTCAGTTATTCTGAGTCTGAATCAGTTTTGGAGTTGATGCCTGCCAGTGCTTGAAATCAACGTTTGTTCTAAAATGACAGCCGAGTACTAGCCTTGCAGCTTTATTTTGAACGACCTGGAGTTTATCCAGATGTTTTTTGAAGCACTTGACCAAACGGCTGAACAATATTGAAGTTGACAAAGAACTAAAGACTGTATTACTTTTTTTTTTTTTTTTTTTTCCAGAGACATAAAATGTGCATTACGCCAGATTATAGCAATGTTTCTGCTCATCTTATTAACTTGTGTAGACCATGAAAGAGTTTTGTCTATTATGACTCCTGGTAGCTTAGCTTCTTCAACTTGTTCTATTGTTTTTGTACAAAGATGGGCAACTTTTGCGTGTGTCTTACAAAATATTTAGAACCCAAAACCATACGCTTTGTTTTTGAAACATTCAGTTTTAACTTGGTCCATGACCCACTCAGAAATAGACAGTAGCTCTTGTAATACCATATTTACTTGATCCAAACTATCAGAAGACACATTGTATCATCAGCATATATAGTCATGCATGCATTGACATTCAAATGACATGTAATTTACACAAATACAGCAGAGGACCTAAGCAGCTACCTTGTGGAATTCCGCATGGAAGGGATATATATATATAATATGAGCAAATTACAATAAACATAACACATTGTTTCCTTTCAATAAAATAACTACTCATAAAGTTAATAGCTGAGTTTTTGAAGCCAGAAGCTGCACTGAAGTCGAGAAACACACCAACCAGTTGTTTTCCATCAATTTGCTTTAACCAATCATCATTAAGAGCTGTCAGCCTGTAGCCCTCTTTATATGCATGCTGAACATCAGAGTAGATACAGTTCAAGTCAAGGTAATGTTGAATTTGTTTAAACACAACTTTTTCCATTAACTTACTTAAAACTGGTAAAATGGTATTTTGCCCCGTTAAAAGGTTCTTTCAAATTTTTATCCACCGGAATAACTTTTGACATTTTCCACAGATCTGGGTAAATACATTCATCCAAACACAGATTAAAAATGCGACATAAAGGCTTGGTTATTAAATTAGCTGAGATCTTAAGAAGCCTTCCATCCATATTGTCAATTCCACATGGTTTATCTACGCAGCTCTTCCATATCTTCTTCAGTTATATGTTTCAATACAAAATGGCTGTTTTTATTTGTCATAACTTGATTTTTAATAATTTCATGCGACAGTCTCCCACTCACTAGAGGCATTTCATCTCTAATCCCATTCACCTTTCCCAAGAAATAATTATTCAAGTAATTTGCCATTTTAAATGGCTTAGTAAGGACTGCTTCGTTTGTTTGAACGTATAGAGATCTATTTACCTTTACCATTAAATCATTGTTTTCCATAGTATTTTTACCATTATTACTACACTGCTCAAATTTAATTTGATATTGCTTTTTTCTTTTGCCTGCTTAATTTAATTTCTAAATGAACGATAAATTTTCCAATCTGCAGCATTCCCTGACATCACAGCAACTCGTTTCATTTCATTTATTTTTCATTGAATTTCTTAAGTGATCATCTCACCAAGGAGACCGCTGAAAATAATTTACAAAATGAAGTTAATGCTGGCTCTGCTTGTGTTTTCTGTAATATATCATCCCACTTTACACATCTCATGTCGTCTTTAACTTTGTTCTGGAAAAAAAAAAAAAGGTACATTTGTTTATATATTACTTTAGCCCTCGACTCTTCGTTCTTAAATCGTCACTTAAGACCACGTAAAGACCAGAAAGTGTTGTTGCTTGTAAGAAAAATAAAGTGGCAGTTCCCAGCACGGTCATCAGTATCAGCAGCCCAATCAGAATAATTTATCATCATTAAATCAGCAGGAAGTTTACTGGTTTCCTGTGTGCGTTTCAGCTGGGCGGCTGTGGGTTTTTGGGTGTCGGCGTGTGGCTTTCGGTTTCCCAGGGCAGCTTCGCCACCCTGTCGCCCTCCTTCCCCTCGCTCTCTGCCGCCAACCTCATAATCACCCTCGGCACGGTCATCATGGTGACAGGTTTCCTGGGTTGTCTGGGTGCCATCAAGGAGAACAAGTGCCTGCTGCTGAGTGTGAGTACACTACATTACCCACAGTGCATTTCTTTAGTTTTATGTCAATGTGTTTAGGTGGTATGAGGAACACTGCAACAAATGATGCTCTTGGTCGTATTTTTTGCTTCAAAGATTTGGAACTAAAAAGGGTCTTTTCTTCTATAAATCAGTTCTTCATCGTCCTGTTGATCATCCTTTTGGCCGAACTTATCCTCCTCATCCTCTTCTTTGTCTACACAGATAAGGTAGGACCTTTAATACGTGTTGTGCCTTGATTTAGCCCACGTTTAATTCTCCACCTCTGTCGCTCCAGGTGAATGAAAATGCCAGACAGGACCTGAAAGAAGGTCTAGTGTTGTACAACACAGATAACAACGTCGGGCTGAGGGACGCCTGGAACACCATACAGAGAGAGGTAAACTCCAGACAAACCCCTGGAGAAAACTCACCCTGCTGTTGGGTTGTAAAAACGCTTCCTGTTCGTGTGCTCAGTGGAAGTGTTGTGGCGTGATGAACCATGAAGACTGGCATGTTGCTCTGCACAAGAACGTCGTTCCCGACAGCTGCTGCCAGCAGGTTGACCAGGGCTGTGGACGCAACGCCTCAAACACCTTCTGGACACGAGTGAGTCACCAAACCATACATCGGATTTGAATACTTTTACATTTAATAATACACAAAATCTATGAGAGGATCAGTACTAGTAAAATCTTTATTTAGTGTGTTAAATCCTACATGAATACCTTGTTTCACTTGAAACATTTGCACACAGCAGAAATAGATTTTATTAAACAATTAGTAAAGGTTTAGGAATAAACTGACCTGATGGAGGAAAAAAAAAAAAGTAAGCTTTTTTGTAGAAACAGCATTTATTGTACATTATTAATACAAATGCATCATAATTGGACAATCGTATTTCCATTAGAGTGACTGGTTAACTGGAACGGTCTTGTTTCTTGCACCACACCCAGATGGTTTGTGATGACCTGCAAGAAAGATTAAGGAAACTTCAGAAAGTGTTGCGTTTCTCTAAAGTCAACTCGTTACGGTTTTTATTTTGGGGCTAAATCATTTTCAGTGATTAAATGTCGAATTAAAATAATAATAAACCCAGGTTGGGATGTGGCTTTAAATAGAGGTGCGTGTTTTTGGCATAATATGAAAAGTTCTGTTTGACTGTTTCTTCATTGTTAAAACAAGTTATTTGTGGACTCGATTCTTTTTCCAATTAAACTGCCAGGCAGCAGAATGTATTTATTATATACATAAATATATACTTTTTAACCCGTTTCGCATGCTGCTTTAGTCACAGAAGAACTAAAATTTACATATTCCACTGGATGTTTTAAATCCTGGAATATTGACACAAACTGCAGTGTGTTGTAATTAGAACTCACCAATGGTTCATCGCCCAAACATATTCATGTACAAACATTTCCACCCTCGTGCTTTTCTTCAACACTTAAATGGAGGATTTTCACCTAAACTGACAAAGCTCTAATCCCAGCATTCATGAATCTGCACAAAGTGATTAATCTTCACGTGTGTTTTCAGGGTTGCTATGAGAAAGTAGAAGAATGGCTGGATGACAACAAACACCTGCTGGGGACTATTGCCATGTGTGTGTTGGTCATTCAGGTGAGCCGCTTGTCGGATAATTGGGATTTGTTCAATACTCAGTACTATTAGAACATCCAGCACTTCAAAAATGACCAAACTACTCCTTTAAGTGGATTTATGGGACTATCTTTGTTTTGTTTTTCAGCTGCTTGGTATGGCTTTCTCCATGACACTTTATCAGCAGATCCACAGAGCAGGAAAGACGTATGAAGCCTGAACATTACACCGTTGTTTACTGGTATACATTCAACAAACAAGCAATTCCACTGCTGTAGATGTTTCACTCCCCGCTGAAGGAGCTCCAACTGCACGTGCCCCACCCACTTGTTTGAACCACGTGAAGGTGTGAGAGGCAATGGCTGAAACCTCTGCTTAAAGTTGGTTCTCGACGTAAATGGCTTCCTTCGCCCCTCTCGAACAATCTACGCTTTTGTTCAAAATAATAAGCGAGCCCCTTCTCGTTGTGTGGAGCCGTGCGTCTGTGGAGTATGTTTAAATACAGAGGTGTGAACTGCAGACTCCATATTGCTCAGCTTGTTTGGGTGGTTTGCAGACCAGCCTGTCTAGGAGTCCTGTTAGTAGAAAATTATAAGAAACTCAAAAGACAAGTCACTAAATGCAACATATTGGCGCAGTGGGGCGGCTGTGGCCGAGTGGTTAGAGCAGTCGTCCTCCAATGGGAGAGTTGGGGGTTCGATTCCCATGATGGAAGTGTCCCTGGGCAAGACACTGAACCCCTCATTGCCTCAGATGTCCCATCAGTGTATGAATGTGATCTAAAGCACTGATTATTCTTTATATCATTATATAGAGAAATATTTGTTCAGTTAGCTTTTAATGTTGTAATAGAGTGCTGTATTAATGCGTGTGGAGGTACATGATTGTGTTGTAAAGCACTTGGAGTTTAGATAGAAAGGTGCTATACAAGTACGGTCCATTTACATCTGATAGAGGCTGGTCCAGACAAAACACGCACAAACTGAGCTGCACGGTGTCTGTAGACCTGCACGTTTGAGAAAATACAACCTTTAGGGTCCTGCATCCGAAGCAATGAAATCAGCTCTCATCGACATAGTTATGTGACAAAAATGGCGTCATTTTGTTGTCAGAGCAGCTTCACCCACCCCTTCTCAACACAAGGCCCGGCTGGGCTGAACTTTTTGTATTGTGCGATTGGTTGGACGCGTGTGGGCGTGCATGCCAATGCAGAAATGCCTTCAGACATTCAGCTGCATGACTAAACAAACACTAAATTAGCCAAAAGGGCAAAAACTCCTGGATGGAGGTCTAGTAGACATCGTGGCCAAACTGCAGATGCAGTGGAGTCTCTGGTGAGAAGAAACCTGTGCAGTGATGTTTACTGGAGCAGGACAGGTTTCCCAGGAGCTCTCGTTGACACACTGAGAACAGATAGTTAGGGAGGGGGTTGAAGGAGGCTATTTATGTCAAATGAGAAAGACCAACGTTAAGTATTCACACCTTCATAAACAACAATGACCCACCCTATGGATTCCCAGTGAGGTTGCATGTGAGTTAAGCTTGTATACTGGGGGTCTGGTAAAGTTTAATGGTTCTGAACAGAGGAAGATTTCTGCATGGGAATTAAAGTGTCTACAACTACAGAGTAGAAGTCCAGTTGTTTCACATTAGCTTGGGTAAATAAATAAAAAAAAGATGTTTTAAAAGATGTGCTCCACTTACATTTATTTAATCTATGCACCAAGATATTTTTGTGAATAGCTTTTAACATTTAGCTTTTTATGATTGTATTTACTTTCCAATATGCCTTTATATAAACTTGTTCAATAGGATTAGAGGTGTCTGAAAAATACATTTACTAACGTGTTCAATAAAGGTAAATTCTTAATTTGTGCATTAGTCTTTGTTTTATGACAAATATGAAAATATTTAAGGGTTTGTAGCAATATATTGACAAAAGGTTCTGTGTTAAAGCAGGAATTACACTGAGTTTATACCTGTCGCGACATCAATATGAAAATCAGTGCAGCTCATATTTCCAGCCAATAAACCGACTTTATCCCAGGTGAGATAAGAAATTAAAGCTGTAGGAATAAGTTATAATCCAAGCTCTGCTCGTTTTAGTTCTGTAAAAATCTCTTACCCGAGTCAGCAGGGAGTTAAAACTGTTAAAGCTCCATGGTTCCTTTGTTATCATACACGACGTCGCCTTTAACGATGACGTAACGAATGACCTCCTGGTGTCCTCCCAGCTGGTAAATCAGGTGCTCCCATCTCAAAACAAAAAGAAACAAACCAGTTCAAAGCCACTCGGACTCTTCCAGACTCCGCCTCGTAACGTGACGGTTTCTGCAGTGCGCGTTTACCGTGTGGCGTTGAGGAGCAGCAGGTCTCCGTGTTTGTTGACCTCCAGGGATCCGTGCGTGTGAGAACGGCCGAGAGCGAACGCTGCGTTGATGGTTGCTGCAGCTAACGCCTCAGACATGGACATCCTCATGTTGACGCAGGCGAGGTGCATCACTATTGGCTGGAAGAAAGGGCGTAACCGACAGGAAGAGAGAACATTCGAACACTTCCTGTTGGACTCACCATGGAGCAGCAGTAGGCGTTGGGGTTGAAGTCACTGCCGAGGGCAACGATTACTCCTGCATCCAGCATGTCTCTGGCTCGAGGCTGAGGAAGTCTAAACACACACATTACTCAATGACACATTCGGGTGGACGTGTGGAGGAGGATTTATGTCGGAGTACCGGAGGATGTAGGCTGTGGTCGGCAGAAGAACGGCAGCGGTTTTTGCTTTCGCCATGGCAACAATTCCTTTGTCTGTGACTTCTTCAAGATGACTGATGGCTAAAGCTCCGAGCTCCGCTCCCATCTGTCACACACACACGCACCGACTTTACAGGAGGAACTCACACCGTCTGCTGCTCAGCATTTTAAATCAGTCATGTTAAAAAAAAAAAAAGAACTTTTGTTCACCCGTGATCTTTTGTCACTCGAGGATGACTCATCTACAATCTCAAATTTTAGCTCAGTAACTCTAAAATTGATAAGATTCAGACATTTCTGCATTGATTTGTGCTCAATTAGCCGTGGTGGCCATCTTGCCATGGTTTGACTGCAGAAATCACAGTACTGAACTGATTTAGAAACAAACGAGCGTGAGCTCAGCCGCACCTCAGCGGAATACATGGGGTGAAGCTCGTCTCCATGGAAATTGATGTTGAGACCCATCTCTTTGCCAGCCTGCAGGATGGAGCGAGTCGACTCGAGGTCAAACACTCCCTGCTCACAAAACGCGTCGATGTTGTCGACTCGGAGTTTCCCTGCAGACATCAGCGCCTTCAGGTGAGGCAGCTGGACCTGGAGGACATCCTCAGTGGCTTCTTTAACCGTCTTCCCTCTGAGAAAGGGAAAAACGAGCCTGAAGTGACACCAAAGCTTGTTTTTCTTACCACTAAAAGACTGATTCTTACTTGGGCACTGCGTGGGCTCCGCAGTAGGTTGAGGAGATGTTGATGGGCAGAGAGAGTCGCGCCTCCTCGATCACCTCCAGCATCTTGACCTCAGTCTGCAGCTCCAGGCCGTAGCCACTCTTGCACTCAACCAGGGTGGTTCCTGCTCGCTGCATTCGCACCAACCTACTCTTCAGGGAGGCCAAAAGCTCTGAAGCAGCGGCAGCTCGAGTGTGGTCAACCGTGAAGTGGATCCCTCCTCCGGCCTGGTGCACGTCCATGTAGGTGGCACCTTCCAGCTGCGGGAGAACGACAAGGTTTCAGTAAAGCTGTGGACCAGCGGTGTCCAATCCTGGTCCTCGAGGGCCACGAAACTGCATGTTTTAGATGTTTCTTTACTTCAACACACCTGACGTGCATAAACAAGTGATTAACAGGCTCCTGCAAGTGCAGAGAAACAGCTAAACATGCAGGACAGTGGCCCTCAAAGACCAGCGCTGCAGACTGAGGTCACAACACACCAAATAAAATACCTTCATCGCAAATTCATGCACTCTGTCTCCAGCCCAGACTGGATGAGTGTGAGCATCGACCAGCCCTGAAACACATTTTACTAAAACGTTAATCACTTCCTTTAATACAACCATGAAGTTTACAAGGTACCATACTCATTCACAATAACCACATAAAATCAGCTCGAGGTCAGTCAGCACAACCAGAATTAATACATAAAGTGCACCAGATTATAAGGCTCAATGTTGATTTTTGAGAAAATTAAAGGATTTTAAGTGCAACTTATAGTCTGAAAAATACAGTATATAAAGATACAAACAACCAAGTCTGACAACAATTATTTCTTTTTTATTGTTCTTTAATCTTAAAGGTTGGAATTATGAAAAATGATTGTTTTGTTGCAGGTCTGGATTATTTTTTATACAAAAAAAAAACATCCTCCAAAAGTGGTGATGTCATAACTTTGGCCATTGGTTCACCTCTCACTATAATTTTATTTTTTTTCCAAATCACATTTGAACTATTTTATGATTTGAGATAT